GAAATTTTGAAAAGGTAGTCATTGATATAATTGGACCCATTAGGGGCCATCCATAAAAAGACGTCCACCAATTTTTTGCTATTTTTTACCCCCCCCCTCCCCCTTTGTCCACTTTTGACTATTTTTGCTTTTTTTTCCCCCCCCCCCCCCCCTTTGTCCCCTTTTTACTTGCCCCCCCCCCCCCCCCCAGTTGTGGACATCCAAAACATAAAATTTAACGAACTTAAATTAATTAATATTTTTACAACATAAAGAGTATATATTTACAAAGATTTTTTTTAGAAATTCCAATTATTTGCAGGCAAAATGCTAAATGAAATAATAACTGTTCAAAAACATTTTATTGAATCACTCTATTAAAAAATGTAATAAACAAATAATCCACCATTCTTCAATCAACGGAAAATTCGGACTGCAGCCATTCAAACATGTTTCGTAAAATGACAACATCTCTTCTTGAGTCTTCAATTGCTAATTCAATTTGAGTGGCAGTCTCTTCGTCTACCATGTTCACTAGCAGGAATATTGCAATGGACGACCTTATGTTTTTTCATTGCCGCCTGTGATGGGAAATATTTACCGCAGAAACATATTCTCTTGGAAATTCTCCTAGCCACCGATGGACAATAGAGATCAAAAGGCATGCTACTGTAACTGTGATCGGGCAGTAAATTTGCAGTAAATTTATGCAAAACTGCTGCACTCAAAAAAACACTACAATGTGGACATCTACTTTGTCCTAAACCCCCTCCCCTCCCTTGTCCACTTTTTGCTGAGCCCCCCTCCCCCCTTTTGTGTGGACGTCTTTTATGGATGACCCCTTAGCACACCTTCAAGCAAAGGGCATAGGTTCATATTAACATTAATAGATATGACGGCAAGGTGACCAGAGGCTATTCCATTGAAAACATAACCTCTGAAACTATTTGTATGGCTTTACTAGATATTTTCACCAAATATGGATTTCCAGAAAAAATGTTGTCTGATAATGGGAGACAGTGTCCAACATAGCGAATGCTGTCACCAAACTCTAGGGAATAACACAGATACACTATACAATCTATAGACCCCACGCTAACGGCATGTGTTGAAGATGGAACAAAACTCTAGGGAATAACACAGATACACTCTACAATCTATAGACCCCACGCTAACGCCATGTGTTGAAGATGGAACAAAACTCTAGGGAATAACACAGATACACTCTACAATATATAGACCCCACGCTAACGGCATGTGTTGAAGATGGAACAAAACTCTAGGGAATAACACAGATACACTCTACAATCTATAGACCCCACGCTAACCGCATGTGTTGAAGATGGAACAAAACTCTAGGGAATAACACAGATACACTCTACAATCTATAGACACCACGCTAACCGCATGTGTTCAAGATGGAACAAAACTGTAAAGAGCATGCTGGCAAAAAGAACAGAGCAACACCTTAGGGACTGGCACTTATACCTTCACCGTAGGGACCGGCACTTATACCTTCACCTTAGGGACTGGCACTTATACCTTCACCTTAGGGACCGGCACTTATACCTTCACCTTAGGGACTGGCACTTATACCTTCACCTTAGGGACTGGCACTTATACCTTCACCTTAGGGACTGGCACTTATACCTTCACCTTAGGGACTGGCACTTATACCTTCACCTTAGGGACTGGCACTTATACCTTCCCCTTAGGGACTGGCACTTATACCTTCACCTTAGGGACTGGCACTTATACCTTCACCTTAGGGACCGGCACTTATACCTTCCCCTTAGGGACCGGCACTTATACCTTCCCCTTAGGGACCGGCACTTATACCTTCACCTTAGGGACTGGCACTTATACCTTCCCCTTAGGGACCGGCACTTATACCTTCCCCTTAGGGACCGGCACTTATACCTTCACCTTAGGGACTGGCACTTATACCTTCACCTTAGGGACTGGCACTTATACCTTCACCTTAGGGACCGGCACTTATACCTTCACCTTAGGGACTGGCACTTATACCTTCACCTTAGGGACTGGCACTTATACCTTCACCTTAGGGACTGGCACTTATACCTTCACCTTAGGGACCGGCACTTATACCTTCACCTTAGGGACTGGCACTTATACCTTCCCCTTAGGGACTGGCACTTATACCTTCACCTTAGCGACTGGCACTTATACCTTCACCTTAGGGACTGGCACTTATACCTTCACCTTAGGGACTGGCACTTATACCTTCACCTTAGGGACCGGCACTTATACCTTCACCTTAGGGACTGGCACTTATACCTTCACCTTAGGGACTGGCACTTATACCTTCACCTTAGGGACTGGCACTTATACCTTCACCTTAGGGACTGGCACTTATACCTTCACCTTAGGGACTGGCACTTATACCTTCACCTTAGGGACTGGCACTTATACCTTCACCTTAGGGACTGGCACTTATACCTTCACCTTAGGGACTGGCACTTATACCTTCACCTTAGGGACTGGCACTTATACCTTCACCTTAGGGACTGGCACTTATACCTTCACCTTAGGGACTGGCACTTATACCTTCACCTTAGGGACTGGCACTTATACCTTCACCTTAGGGACTGGCACTTATACCTTCACCTTAGGGACTGGCACTTATACCTTCACCTTAGGGACTGGCACTTATACCTTCACCTTAGGGACTGGCACTTATACCTTCACCTTAGGGACTGGCACTTATACCTTCACCTTAGGGACTGGCACTTATACCTTCACCTTAGGGACTGGCACTTATACCTTCACCTTAGGGACTGGCACTTATACCTTCACCTTAGGGACTGGCACTTATACCTTCACCTTAGGGACTGGCACTTATACCTTCACCTTAGGGACTGGCACTTATACCTTCACCTTAGGGACTGGCACTTATACCTTCACCTTAGGGACTGGCACTTATACCTTCACCTTAGGGACTGGCACTTATACCTTCACCTTAGGGACTGGCACTTATACCTTCACCTTAGGGACTGGCACTTATACCTTCACCTTAGGGACTGGCACTTATACCTTCACCTTAGGGACTGGCACTTATACCTTCACCTTAGGGACTGGCACTTATACCTTCACCTTAGGGACTGGCACTTATACCTTCACCTTAGGGACTGGCACTTATACCTTCACCTTAGGGACTGGCACTTATACCTTCACCTTAGGGACTGGCACTTATACCTTCACCTTAGGGACTGGCACTTATACCTTCACCTTAGGGACTGGCACTTATACCTTCACCTTAGGGACTGGCACTTATACCTTCACCTTAGGGACTGGCACTTATACCTTCACCTTAGGGACTGGCACTTATACCTTCACCTTAGGGACTGGCACTTATACCTTCACCTTAGGGACTGGCACTTATACCTTCACCTTAGGGACTGGCACTTATACCTTCACCTTAGGGACTGGCACTTATACCTTCACCTTAGGGACTGGCACTTATACCTTCACCTTAGGGACTGGCACTTATACCTTCACCTTAGGGACTGGCACTTATACCTTCACCTTAGGGACTGGCACTTATACCTTCACCTTAGGGACTGGCACTTATACCTTCACCTTAGGGACTGGCACTTATACCTTCACCTTAGGGACTGGCACTTATACCTTCACCTTAGGGACTGGCACTTATACCTTCACCTTAGGGACCGGCACTTATACCTTCACCTTAGGGACTGGCACTTATACCTTCACCTTAGGGACTGGCACTTATACCTTCACCTTAGGGACCGGCACTTATACCTTCACCTTAGGGACTGGCACTTACACCTTCACCTTAGGGACCGTCACTTATACCTTCCCCTTAGGGACCGGCACTTATACCTTCACCTTAGGGACCGGCACTTATACCTTCCCCTTAGGGACTGGCACTTATACCTTCACCTTAGGGACTGGCACTTATACCTTCACCTTAGGGACCGGCACTTATACCTTCCCCTTAGGGACCGGCACTTATACCTTCGCCTTAGGGACCGGCACTTATACCTTCACCTTAGGGACTGGCACTTATACCTTCCCCTTAGGGACCGGCACTTATACCTTCACCTTAGGGACTGGCACTTATACCTTCACCTTAGGGACTGGCACTTATACCTTCACCTTAGGGACCGGCACTTATACCTTCACCTTAGGGACTGGCACTTATACCTTCACCTTAGGGACTGGCACTTATACCTTCACCTTAGGGACCGGCACTTATACCTTCACCTTAGGGACTGGCACTTATACCTTCCCCTTAGGGACTGGCACTTATACCTTCACCTTAGGGACTGGCACTTATACCTTCACCTTAGGGACTGGCACTTATACCTTCCCACGTACTTTTTGCATACAGAGAGTGTACAAGAAACAACAGGTTACTCACCTTTTGAATTGATGTTTGGGGCCAACCCTAGAAGCCCATTGTCTATTTTTAAACAAAATATTTTAGGAAAGAAGTTGAAGATTCATTTGACATAATTACTAACATAAGAGAGAAACTAGTCAATGGGCGCCAAGAAGCTACAGAGAACACAGAGAGAGAGAGGCAAAAGACAAAGAAATATAAAAAATACACACATTGATATTTAAGAAATTTAAAAGAGACAGACAGTGTTTATGTTTGGCTGCCAGAATAGGAGAGAAGATCTGGACAGGACCATGCATAGTGCATAAGAAACTAAAAAAAGTTGACTCTGTAATAGAAATAAATGGAGAACTTAAAGTTTTACACATAGATCGTTTAAGGTAATATGATAACTGCCATGAAAACATAAAAGAGATAGCAGATAGAATTAACACAATTCCTGAAAGTTTGGAAAATGATATAGTTGCAACTGTAAGGCACATACCAGACACAGACAGTATTGAGATTCCACCAATGAAACATCAGAAAGAATTTAATGAATTGACTGGAATGTTTTGATAATAACTTTGAAACAATAAATAACATAAGACACATCCAATTTTTTCAACTAATGAGGACACAATCTATTTTTCATTTTTGTATTCTGACACAATCTCTTTGTGACTTAACTGAAAGTATGTACATAAAGAAATTGAAACATATATTAATTGGTTTTTCAATATTGAATGTGAATATATTCACAAATGAATAGTCCATATTTGTACTGATGATACAATATAAGGATGATTTTGATGACATATGATATTGGTTACATAACAATGTGTTATATTTTTTATGTTATTTCATTTGTTGTGATAGAATCAGGACAATATACATAATGTAAGTTTCAGTTCATATGACTCAAATAAGTAAAAGAGAGTATAAGCCATGCATAATTGAGAATGTGTAAGACATGCATCCAAAAGCAGAATATTATGAATATTTAATAATCAATGAGCAGAGGTGTATTCCTGCAACACAAGACTTTAGTGTTATGATCTGACATACACAGTATTATGAATATATTAGACTGATTGAGCAGAGGTGTATTCCTGCCATAAATTAACAAGAGACATCATGATATCTGATTTATAAATAGATCTTGCCACATGTGAGTTAAACATTAAGATTTAAAATCAAATTGATATACTGATATTTGATCAGGGCACATAGTTTACAAATAGTCTCAATTTTTTCCAAGATAAACTTTTACATATTTTTTAATAATTGCAATGAAGTATTAACCATGAATGGGTCTTAATTAAGTTATAGTATTTTATTCGTTTTATGTTGAAAGTATTTCATTTTTGTGCTAAATAAATTTTGTTGCACAAAATTTTTTCAATAGGGGCGGGGCGTATGTCACAGATCAAGTATTTAGATAATATATTTTGTTTAGGAATAATGTATTGTTTTTATAAGTTAGAAGGAACAGGAGTTAATTAATATATGTCATGCGCAGCAAAAGAATACAAGGACAGAAGCAAAAGGGAAGCATTTGTTCATTGAAGACATCGGCGCTCGCCATAAATCTCATAGCATTGGGTCACTTATTTAATAGATCTGTGTGAAAGTCATATGTCAAGTAAATAGACAATATCAGTTATATTTCCTTCAATTTCGGAGATGTATTTCATGTAGTGTAATTTATACATAATAAATTGTTGTGATGCTAAATAGGGTAATGAGGGGAGAGACCCTACTCTGTTTTACTCATTTTATATGATGCTAAATACATGGGCTTCCCTCGTGTTTTGTGAATGTGGATAATTAACACTAAAACTATATTTACTAGTAACATCTTCATCACTAACGATCTTTACTGGCCTCATGATAAGATATTGGGCCTCATGATAAGATATTGGGCCTCATGATAAGATAAGATTCTTTTATTCATCCAATTAAATTGGATCGTGTATTGATTACAATGAACATAATTATTTTCAGCATATCAACAAAAAAAACACAGATAGTAAACATTCTGATTAAATAACAATTTTAAACTAAAAAATGTTAACATAAGACAATGTTAAACTGTAAAAATTTTAACATAAGACAATTTTAAACTATAAAAATGTTAACATAAGACATTTTAAATTATTTTTCAAATGCAAATACTAGCCAAATGACTGTAAGGAAAATGAAATGTTAAGATCATAGGGCTTTTCAAAGCTATCCCTGCCTGGTCAAACTGATGGCATGATATGAAAACATATTCCCAAACAGACAGCTAAAATCTGTCACTTATACCTTTCCCACACAGTTGCAAACAACAGGGAGACAACTCTGAGCAATAGTGAAAAGCTCATGTGATCCCCCAATGATTTCCCACTAGGTTTCTGTGGTCATGAGAAGAAATCATAACAGATTTATGAGAAAGATATATAAGTTCAAGGTCACCAGAAAGTATTGTGTAACCAAAAAAGGTAGATAGGAGAGTCTAAATTTGTATTAGCTGCCTGAAATGTTGAATGCAGTCACAAAGCCTGATGACGTGGAGTTATTACTGCAAGAAGAAGTACTGATCACTGGTGATTTATCTCAGTCATCAAATCTAAACAAATCAAGATTTACCATGAAAGGATTTTATGGATTCTTTTAAGCATCCATTAACGATCCATTAAGCATAAAATTATTTCAGTTCAACTAAAGTGTCAGATTATTGTCATAGTGTATGATAGAATGTGATAGGGTGTCAATGTGTGTCATAGTGTGTGATAGTGTGTCAACATGTGCAATAGTGTTATAGTGTATCAATGTGTGATAGGGTGTCAATGTGTGTCATAGTGTGTCATAGTGTGTCAACAAGTGCAATAGTGTTGTAGTGTATCAATGTGTGAAAGGGTGTCATAGTGGATTTTTTCAAAATCACATTTCTATTATTTTTTTTTACAAAAACCTTTTTTTTTTCTGAAAGATGCTGTACACAATGTTTACAAGTTATAAGTAAGACTTGGGGCTTGTGATCAAGTATTTTGAAAAGTCTGCAAAATCTCAAAATAATAATTGTCACATTCCTCTTAATGATTATCATTATCATCAATGGAGAGCTAAGTAATGACAGTGAAGACATGAGGATTAAGGAAATGAGTAGCTTAATCTCTGGTCACGAAAGACTATGAAATCATTTGGTTCAACGGCTTGGTCCCGAAGAGATAGTTCATCATTTAATTTCTTGAGTTTATGAATGAGAAGCACATGCTCTGCTGGCACACCAGTCAAATGTGTTAGGTCAGCTTTAAGTGATGTTGTGGGCTGACTTGGATCAAGGGTCAAGCAGAGATGTAGACCTGTGCCTTGTGGCTGTTCATAGATCACAACTATTTTGATTTCTGGATTTGCCTCTGAAAGTTTCAAAGATATGAATCAAGGCATTATTTAAATTATTTTCTTTCAGCTGTGTTCATGAAGCTCAAAGTTTCAAAACTTTCACCTGTGTTCATGAAGCTCAGTGTTTCAAAACTTTCACCAGTGTTCATGAAGCTCAGTGTTTCATAACTTTCACCAGTGTTCATGAAGCTCAAAGTTTCAAAACTTTCAGCTGTGTTCATGAAGCTCAGTGTTTCATAACTTTCAGCTGTGTTCATGAAGCTCAAAGTTTCATAACTTTCCAAGAAACATAACAAGGTAGATGAAGTCAGTATAATATATAGTTTTTACAATTATATTTGATATATACCTTAATGAAATAAAGTATTCATAATATTGGTAGCTAAAATTATTTTATTGCATTTAAAGATGTAAATTTATGTTTCAAGTCTAATAAAATTCATGATCTGAAAAATGGGCAAATAAATATTTCTATCATAAATTTTCAATAAGATATAAATAAATTACTAAATCCTTCTCACCTAAATGAAAGTTGTCTCTTTTTGTATGAATATCATCATCTATGGTACATAAAAAGTATTGTTATAATTACATAATCTATGGCACATAAAAAGTATTGTTATCGTTACATCATCTATGGTGGATAAAAAGTATTTTTATCATTATATCATCTATGCTACATAAAAAGTATTGTTATCCTTACAAAATGATCATTGATAACAAATCAATTAACAATATTATTATCTTTCTTCACTTTAAAATTATACAATTGTTAATAGTGTATGGCAAATATTTGCATGTTTAATTATGTAGTAAATATGTACGTCACCTCTTTCAGTGTCCTCGGATGTGCTGTTTAATCCTCCCATTTCTGTATAAGAACTACGTCATAAGAATGTTTCTTACAAGATGTCTAACTGAGGCTGATCTGAGAGCAAAAAATATATTTTTAAAAAATATTGACATTTATTTCAATTAGTGGTCCTTCATTAAGTATTTATAAAAGTAATGCTAACCAAAACATAATTCTACATTTCAGTCAATGACAGACACTTTTCTATGATCACAATAGTGTCAGTAGGCCTGCCCCTAAAAAGTACACAACAGAATGTTCACCACTGTCTCGGTCAAAACTCATTTTCAAATAGGGCCAGTATTATAGCTAATAATTTTATCACATTTTTGCTTTTTCTTTTAATTGAACACTAAAAAGTTGGCCTAATTAAAACCAAAAGATTAATTGATGAATTATTATTATGAGATCTGATTCCCTTCTTATTCAGTCACTTAATTTAACAACCACATTATAAATTCAATTATAACTTACGACAATGCCTGTCCATGTGAACTATATCTTACTAATTAAAATCTAATCTTTTCTCAGTGCTAGTAGGCTAGTCTTTTAAGATTTTCACTTCACTACTTGAAGTTGAATGAAAAAAACTCCAAAGCCAAAGTGACTAAAATGAAAACTCTAAAATGTTACAAACTGAATTAGTGGATTTGACATTAGGTTGGAGGCTGTCCAGCGACGAGCAGCACGCTTTGTCCTAAACCGCTACAGGAATACCTCTAGTGTTGGCAGCATGCTAGAAACACTAGGCTGGTCACCATTGGAGAAACGACGACGACAATCCAGGCTCTCCATGATGTACAAGATAAATAATGGGCTGGTCCACTGTTCCAGTATTAAACAGAAACTCGTCCCTCAATGCTAGAAACACTAGGCTGGTCACCATTGGAGAAACGACGACGACAATCCAGGCTCTCCATGATGTACAAGATAAATAATGGGCTGGTCCACTGTTCCAGTATTAAACAGAAACTCGTCCCTCTCCACCATAGACAGCGTCGAGGCCATGACAGGCAATTCAGGCTCCTACCAGCAAGAAGCCAGTATAGGAGCTGCTCATTCCTGCCCAAGACAATCAGGGACTGGAACAATCTTTCAAAAGGAACGGTTGAGGCGACAACACTAGACACATTTGTGTCTATTGCCTCCAGCCTTCAAACCCCTTGTGCATGATTTCTTCATCAACACCAGTAACAGAAACATTACAAATCCCATCTACATGCATAGGAGCCAAAATGATCAATAAATTGATCGTGGGCCCTTAAGATATAGAAGAAGAAATAAAATTTATTATATCAATTAAACTAAGACTAGACACATCTGGCTCTACATGAGTTTCAGAGTTGTTATTCACAGTTGGCTGGGAATCATAATTGATAGCAGTAATAAACCATTCAATGCTGAGCATTATTCCCAGCCTACTGCATATTAATAAAGTCTGTTCAAATTAAAACAAATTATATATATAATACAGCCAATAATTCCACCACATTCTTTAATTTAAATTGCTAACTGTAGTGAACCCTTTATCGGCTGCAAATAATGTTGAGTATTATTCCCAGGCAACTGTGTATTATGCCTCCCACTAAGTTTTGAGTCATTTCACTTCTGAATTTTCTTAACTAATACTTACGTAATAATAATAATAATAAACTAGTCATCATCATCAGTGGCGCTACAGCCCATGTAAGGCGCTGGCCTGCTCCACCGCTTCCATGCACAAACCCCCAACTGATGTAAATCCTTTTCTACATCTCGATCCATCTCAGCCTTGGGCGAACGGTGAGTCATCTGCCCCTAGATTTCTGCCTGTATATAATTTTTGCAGTTCTAAAATCCAACATCCTTTCAATATGTCCTGACCAACGCAGGCTGCCCTTTTTTATTGTTGTGACCATGGGCGGGTCTTTGTATTATTGATAGATCTATAGCTATTGGTTTTGTATGGATTCTCCAAACAAGATTGTCTATCGCTGAGCCATATATTTTCCTGAGAATTTTCCTCTCCCTTGTAATTAGCAGGTTTTCTGCTTTTCCGGTCTTACTTTCATAAGTAACTATTGGTTTTATAATAGTGGTGTACATTGCATTCTCTGTTCCCCTTGTGAAGTATTTGCTTCTTAGAAGTATATTAGCTTTTGTAGGCTGAAATAGGAACGGTTGCCAGATGTTATCCTTTCTTTCACCTCCGACATTACTTTATTAATTTGTGCTTGTTTATAGTCGCCCCTAGAGATTTGATTTTAAGTACCGGTAGCTACTCACTCAAAGGTGTGCTTGTTTATATTGATGTTGTCATCTGTGTGTCTTTCATGACATTATTGTTTATTTTGTCTTCGCTTCATTTCAAATGTGGGTGGGTCTTTGTACAATTGGTATAGCTAATAATAATCTAGTACCCGGTACTATGACCATAGTATATCTATTGTAAATTGTAATAGTTATTAAACTAATTAGTTAAGTTAGACTCATAATCATAGAAATACTAGTACTAGTACTATTAATAGTCTAAGACAAGGCTATATTAAATAAAAATTAAAAGGCCGAGACCAAGATTTTCACTTTAGTTATTGATAGACATTTCTAAACCTATATAATATAAAATATAATTAATAATAAAATATATAGTAAAATATTTGAATTTTAATTTATTGTTAGTCCCTTTCATTTCATACTATACTATACACACTCTACTGACATGACAATTGACACTAGTGAACAGTGATACTGATGATAATAATAAACAACAGGCATAGGCAATTAAATACAATAATAATACTCAAATTCAATAGTCAATTGACTTCGAGCAAAGTGATTATACGCACAGCTGTGCACATAATGCTCATTGTTGTTCTAAAATTTCGGTCTACCGATAACACCCAACAATATGCGCAGATTCGCTGCTGGTCGCATAATTTCAAATTAAGTGCATTTGTGGCAAGTTGTAATGATTTTTTAACTTCATGTATACTTTTTCTTTAAAATGACGAAATTAAAATTGACACATCAGTGATATTTGGTTTGGGAATTCTTTGAAAAGTTTGGAAATTTTAAAATGATTTTAGCTTAAGAACCCTGATAGATGTTCTAACTGTACATTTCGATGTACTTGTGTACAAGCTGTTCTAACTGTACATTTTTTATATACTTGTGTGTTAGCTGTTCTAACTGGACATTTTTATATACTTTACTAATCTTTACTGAGTATAACGTTACTAAAAAAGCTCTTTAGACTGTTTATTTTTATTTTTTCTTTGTATAACTTCATTTATAGACTATAACATTCATTTGTTTTTTCTCTAATAAGCACATAAAACATTAACTACTTCAAATATATTTTTTTTTATCTCAAGAGTTGTGTATTTGTGGCAATGGCATATTAGCTAAGTGTGTGGCCAGCCACCTTTACTTTTCACTCAACTAATGCCAGGTACCCACCAGAGTTAGGTAAACTCACGGACACCCTCAAGAGCCAAGAAAAAATCCTAGCCTTCACCAGGATTAGAACCTGGGACCCTCGGTTGGCTAGTCGAACGCGCCACCTCTCTGCATCATAACACTGTAGGATGGCATGACCATGCAACTATTTCAGACAGAAAATTTGTGGACCAGGTGAAATATCTTATTTAAGGTGAGTACTTAAAGAAACAAAATGATGCCCTATCAAGCTTTGACATCATTTTAAGACCTCTCTAAATTGGGTAAATGTAAGTCTACATAAAGAATTGAAACATGCAACTGACTCCCTACTCCCTTACAAGGCAAGGGAAACTTCAGAGCCCATGGAACCAGTCTGACTTAGGCTACATATTTTTATTACTAGTAGTATAATTTTTAATATGAAATACTAAAAAATTAGAGTTATGTCTAGGTGGATCAACTGGATATATAAGTAACAATCTCTAGACATAGGTCGAATAGACCCTATGTTGGCCCCCAACAGAGCAGATGTAGGTACAATTAATTGACCACTTTCCAATATGTTTTTTAAAAGGAATTCACATAATATGGTATTATATAAGCCTATATTATGGTGTGACTTAATAATGGAAAGCAGGCTATAGTTTTCTTGTCACGATGGTATAACAGTTTTCTTTAATTTCATATAATAATAAGGACAAGAAATTCAATACAACTAAACAGTTCAAATATTCTGAAAATTTATTTACATTAATACAATAAATTCAGAAATTGCTGTTAGAAGCACCGTGGAGGGGCACAGTAAAAGGCGTGAGGACCGCCTGTTGCTCTAAGCCAGGAGTCTCCAAACTTTTCAACCCAAGGGCCGCATTAATTATCAAACAGCAATTCGGGGGCCAACTACACGCTCTAGATCTAAATAAAAAAATAATCAAAACATGGATGCTATTTTTAATTATTTATTTAATATTATTTTATTCAGTTATTATTTAATAACACATTGATACGCCACACATGAACACCTGTATTTGTGGGAATGGTGAAATATTTTCCTGGATGCCAAAATAGCAGCCATTTCTGGCTTTAGATCTGATGTCCCTATAACAGTGGCCTGAGATTATCATCGGACAAGTTTGTTCTCAAATTGTTCTTCACGTATTTCATTCTTGAAAATGTTTGTTCACAGTTATATTGAAAAATGTGATAAAAACCCACCAGTCCTTCTTTGAACTTGTCCCTAAGAAGGTCATTTGCTAGCAACTCAATGATCTCCAGCTGCAGTTCATCTGGGCAACTGGCCACATCTGCTTCAAATGAGTTTTGAAACAGTCTCACTTCTTCTGCCTTTGAATCCAGAAAACTGCTGCTGAAACTGCAGCTGGAGGTCTTTGATGATCTCGCATGCAAATGACGTGGGGAACTCCACTGTTGCTTCAGCCATGAAGACCTTGCACTGCTGAAAGTGCGTCTAGTTGTTGGCCTGTATTTGCTTCAAAAACAAGATGAGTTAGTATCTGAAGGCCTTTAGGTGGGTGTATAGATAGAAAACTATATTTTCCTCTCTGTGTAGTTTTAGTTTTAGAAAGTTTAAATGACGAGTTATGTCTTCATCAGACAGTAACAGCAGTGGTTTGCCTTTACTTTCCAGGAGTCACATATTTCCTTTCTAACTTAACTAATCTTCTCAGAACTTTTTCACAACTTAGCCATCTTACTGCTGTGTAATATGGTATATCTTGAAATTCTGTGTCTGTATCTTTCAACAGGTCTGAACTGTTTATGGTTGAGCCCATGTGACCTTTTTAAATTCACCACCTTCACCACAGGATTCAGTACACTGCTAATTTCCGCATATTTAGCACACAAAGCTTGCTGGTGAATAATACAGTGCAAGAACATTGGTTGTAGAATGTTTTTCTCATTATACATCTGCTTCACTTGTCCAACCAAGCCTTTCCTTATGCCCCACATGTTCTTTCCTCCATCAACTGTCAGGCGACTGAGGTTATTTCAGTCCAAGTTATAATCAGCAAATGTTTTTTTCAACTCATTGAATATATCCTCTCCGATAATATTGCCGTACCAGCTATGTAGGGAAGCCAGCTCTTGTGTGATCTTCATGTCTTCATAAACAGCGAATAAGGTTTTAGAATGTAGTGATCGGTTGGAAAACATAACGCACTACTGCATGCCTCTATTTTAATTCGGTAAAAAAATTAACGTCCACGTAAGCAGTGGCTAATCTTGGCAGGAAACCTGTCAATTTCCGTAATTTTTTCCGTTGACAAAAAGGCCTTCACGGGCTGGATGAGAGGGCCTCGTGGGCAGGATACGACCCACGAGCCATAGTTTGGAGACCCCTGCTTTAAGCTTAAAAGTAAATGGAAATGGTTAGGCCTATTAAAATGTTTTCTTTAATTTTTGCATAGCTTCAGTGTTGAAATGTGTTTTGCCATGCTCATTAAATTCATTAAAGATTAATATATACTACAATACTTAATACAGCAAGCAGACTGATGTGCTTGTGCTGGACTTTTCAAAAGCGTTTGACCGTGTCAACCATAGCTTGCTATTGCACAAACTGCATAGATATGGGATCCAAGGCACTACCAAAACATGGATCTCTAGCTTCCTCAGCGACCGATGCCAGGCAGTAGTGGTAGATGGCAAAACCTCCTCCTTTGTCAGTGTTAAGTCAGGGGTCCCCCAGGGCTCAGTGCTAGGCCCTTGTTTGTTCCTAGCATATATCAACGATCTGCCCGAGAAGCTGACCTCTCAAGCAAGACTGTTCGCAGACGACACGGCGGTATATAGGACAATGGTCAACAGCTCTGACCAGAGCCAGCTTCAACAAGACCTCAATCGGTTAGCTGAGTGGGAGATAAGCTGGGACATGGAATTTCATCCCGTCAAGTGCCAAACCCTGTCAGTCTCCAGAAGCAGGTTCCCTCTAAACCACTCTTACGAACTGCATGGCCATATTCTTGAGCCAGTTTCCTCCGTTAAGTACTTGGGTGTTACCATCCAAAGAGAGGTCCGCTGGGACGAGCACATTAACAGTGTGTGCAACCGGGCAAACAAGACCCTGGGGTTCCTAAGGCGCAATCTGAAGATCGGCAACTCAAGCGTGAAAGAAAAAGCCTATAAAGCCTTTGTCCGACCTATTTTAGAGTACGCTTCTACAGTCTGGGACCCATTTACCCAGAAAAGCATAGACAGGTTGGAGGCGGTCCAGCGACGGGCAGCACGCTTTGTCATGAACCGCTACAGAAGCACCTCGAGTGTTGGCAGCATGCTGGAAACACTGGGCTGGTCGACATTGGAAGAACGACGACGACTATCCAGGCTCACCATGTTGTACAAGATAACAAATGGACTGGTGCACTGCTCCGGAATCAAACAGAAACTCGTTAATCTTCCCCCCAGACTGCGACGAAGTCACGACAAACAGTTCCGGCTGGTAAAAACAAGAACGAAGTACAGAAGCTCCTCATTCCTGCCGAAGACAATAGGGGACTGGAACAAGCTTCCAAAAGCAACAGTTGAGGCGGCTACACTCGATACATTTGTGTCTATTGCCTCCTGTATTCCAACCCCCAGTTCATAACACCACTGCTGAGTCGCCCTTGCAACCAGTGAAGTATCCCATTGAAACCCATGGACAGTAACATCGCAAACCTCTCTGAAACATAGGAGCCAGAATGATCAATTCATTGATCGTGGGCCCTTAAAATAAAGAAGAAGAAGACTACCCCTCCCGTCTTGGAATAAGATCCAAACTATTTCTTGAAATTTGCGAGATGATGCAAAAATTTCTGTCTGCAGATAATATTCTGCATTATTTGAAAATTTTGGTCTGCCGATAACGCTTTGCATTAATATTATATTCTATGAAAATTTCAGTCTGCTGATAACACTTAATGTCAACTTAGCATTAATAGCATTATACTTTACATACAATGTGCGCATAATGCTTCCCTCATAGTTCATAGATAATTTTTAATTTAAAATTTAATTTAATGTCCTGTCCTTTAAACAAAAAAAAAGCGTACATTAAATGCTAAATCAAAATCACCCATCTATTTCTAAGCTAGTAAGTAAGTAAGGCGTCCTAGTTTCCTTGCAGAGCAGAACAAAAAGTTTTAAAAATGTCTTCTTCTTAACTTTTCTAGACTAGACTACTCCTGACTCCTAATTGTTCAAGTTGCTATGTAGGCTAGTTGTAAGTTCTAGTTCTACATCTAACGCCACCCATGCTCACGGATATAATTATAGAAATTCAAACTTACATATATATATATAATATATAATATATAGTATATAGCATAGGCCTATATAAGTATAAGTGTTAGTCTAGTTTGTAGGCTGTAGGCAATGTGTTAGTGTTACACGTTTAACTTACACTTACACTGATTTACACTGCTGAAACTTGAAACACTGTACTGTACTGTCCTGTTGTTTTTTTAAGTGTTAGCCCGATGTATATCAGTATCAGTATCACAATCACAATATTCACAACCAATCACATTAATAATTAACTTTTTGTTACTTTTGTAGGTTACAGTTACAGTAAGTAATTTCAAGTTTTAAATTTTGATTGTGAGTCTGGTTTATCACATTAATATTAACTTTAACTTTGTATTTGTAGTTAGTCCCGTGATCCTGGTAGATCACATTAACGGTTCAGTTTGAATTTTTTTAAAGCGTAGGCTTATATAATTATAATGTTCTACGACAGACACAAAGTGCAAGCTATTTGTCTTTCCAGACTTACAAAGACAAATCAACGGGAATTCCAAGTTTTTAATATATGCTGGGGGAAATCCAGAGATGACATTGTAAGCCTCACACTTTGACAAACATGGAGAATGGTCCTCTTAATTTAAAAAAAAATAAATTAAAAAAGTCAAATAGACTTAAGTCTTAAACTTAAATAAAACAAAATTAAAATAATAATAATAATAAAACAAGTTTGGTTTAGCTCAAAAGAAAACAAAATAATTTTGATTTTCTATGTAGGGCCCATGGGCGCCCGCAGAAAACTTTCTGGGGAAGGGGGGGGGGCAAAAGAAATCGATTAACTTTCCGGGGGGGGGGGGGAAAAAAATTTTTAGTAATGTTTTAATAGTTTTAATTTAATGTAGCGTATTTGTATGGTGAACTAACGGACAGACAGGACACCAGCTTAGTTACTTTCTCTTTATTTTCTCTTTACTTTAATAAATTTTTTGTCTAAAATTTTAATCCAATCAATCCAGGNGGGGGGGGGGGGGGGCAGCCCTACTACTTACTATTATAATTAATATTATGTATGTAGCCTATGTCTAGCCTAGGGCTAGGTCTACAATTATGTAAATGAAATTTCTGCCAACATTTTTATTTCTATTTGAAAAAAAAGAAGAAATAGTTAATAATTCAATTAAGATCATGTTTAATGTTTGGATCAAATGAGCTCTGAACAGATCTCGAATTGTTGATTTGAAATTAAGGGACAGATGATGTGGCCGTGGGACATGAGTCCGGGTTGTGCGAAGGGGCAGTATGTTCTGAATAAAATAAAGGCTAATTAATAATACGTAAACCAAAAATAACTTAACTTGAACGCCCCTCGAAGTAATTGTTTGAATGATCAACCTGGTCTTTAAATATAAATAGATTTTAAAAGTCGTCTGACACTGATCTAAATATAGTTCATAAGAATACGCTTATGTGACCACGTCGTTGATTTCGATAGCACACAGCGGGCCTGCACAGCTCAAAATGTAAGGTGGGCCGTAATACTTGATGAAAAACTTGAGGGGGCCGAAAGATAATAGGACAGGGGCTAAAGCTATTTTTTAAAAAAATAATAATAATAAAGAATACTTTGTTATTTCTCAGGCCGCCAGCTAGTTACTGGCGGGACGCATGCGACCCGCGGGCCGTATGTTGTGCGGGCCTTGTATAGACGATAGACTATAGTAACGATTATAGAATGCCCACTTTTATACAAGATACAATCGGGAAAACTCGAAAACTGGGTATCGTAAACAGACTTTCTTCAAGTTAGAAGCATCTGGTGCCATAAGGCCTTCAACAGTTTGACTTGATGGGGAAATGAATTAATCGGACTCCATTTCAAAATAGGAGTTTCGAACTGGCTGGCAACAGCTCTCTTCACGACATTTCACAGTTTGTAAAAAGTATTGACGTGTTCTTACATGATTAGTAAATCAGTCTTGATCTTTAGTAAGTAAATCTCCGCCACAATTTCAGATAATTCAGGCGCAACATATTCAGCCTTATGTTGGAAAATTGGCAATTAATTGTTACTTGCATCCACAATTCTGACAATGTTTTGCCAGCATCTTGGAAATTTAGTTTTTCCAATTCTTCATTAGTTGTTTGACCTTGTGAGTCCAGGTCCAGGTGGCTACCAAAATGTTCATATTGTAAAATTAGGCCTGACAGTTGACAGTAATCTACTCAGCGGAGCCATCTGCTGTTCTACTCGATTAAATGCACTATACCAGGCGCATTTGTTGCAACGAACATTGCATTAAGGTTTTGCTTCAGAAAATGATGAACTGCCATCGAGATCTCGGATTTTCATCCGGTCCACCATGCACAGACCTAGTAAGAACAGGTTTGACTCTCATCTGATTGTTGCTTTCATCCTTTGGGATCATGTCTGATTGTTTTCATCCTTTGGGATCATGTCTGATTGTTTTCATCCTTTGGGATCATGTCTGATTGTTTTCATCCTTTGGGATCATGTCTGATTGCTTTCATCCTTTGGGATCATGTCTGATTGCTTTCATCCTTTGGGATCATGTCTGATTGCTTTCATCCTTTGGCATCATGTCTGATTACTTTCATCCTTTGGGATCATGTCTGATTGCTTTCATCCTTTGGGATCATGTCTGATTGTTTTCATCCTTTGGGATCATGTCTGATTGTTTTCATCCTTTGGGATCATGTCGAATTCTTTCAACTGAAGTAAATTTTCACAGTCTCGTCCATGAGCATAAGCTGGTGACGAGGAATGCTAGCCTGGCCTGATGGCTGTGTAGGTTGGACCTGAATAACTGACAGCTTTAGTTTTGCCTAAACCAACCTTTTGAATTTCAATGCCAGCATAAAACGACGGAATGAGTTTATGCCTTGCCGCCACAACCCAGTCATGGTCTGGCAAATTAACACGGGATTCAGCATGCATTAAAAGTGGAGCCTGCTTGTTAGCCGCTGTCAGTCCAATAGGAACTCTGGCTTTGTCATCCTGGCTGATGAGGCACACTTCTCTTGGTCCCAACATGGTGGCAATTTCCTCGAGATTATTTAGAGTCGAGTAGCCATACAAAATCAACAATCAATGTGCTTGGAGTGTGAATCATGCTGTGCTCGAATAATTTCCCTGGTACAGTTCTGACATGTTGTTTACCCTCAAACAATGAACTTCGTTTTGGTATTAATCTTGTATAAACAGCACTTCTACTTATTTGAAAACTTTTGTTCTTCAGGTGTTCTGCCAATTTATCACGAGTTTCGTCACTGCGATTATTACCACTCTGCCTTTTCTTCTCATGAGCAGCAGACCCATGTAAGGCAATGTCAACAACTGTCTTGAGAAGGGGTGGCTGATCTTCTTCAATTTGTGGTCGGACAGCTTTCTGTCCCATCTTTAATATATCAATAGCTAGCCATTATACCCGACGTAGCCGTGGATAGCCTCCCGATTGATATCCCTATCCATCGGTATCCCGATCCCGATGGGATCCCGTTTCCAAATCTTATCCAAGTGGGATCCCATGGGATCCACTATCCATTGTAATCCCGACCCAAATGCAAAGGCGTAGCGAGGGTGTTTGGCGCCCGGGGACAAGATCCATTTTAAAGCGCCCCTTTTTCTTTTTTTCAACTCTCAAACCCATTATTTTTATCAATAAAATAATATCAAAGCATATTTTGGCGCCCCTAACTAGCTGTCGCCCGGGGACATCTGTCCCCCCTGCCCTCCCCTCGCTACGCCTCTTCCCCAATGGGATCCCGACCCCATCGGGATACCGATCCCGATCAGGATCCCGTTTCCAAATCGGATCCCCATCCCATAGGGGTCCCAACCCCATTGGGATCCCGTTTGGATATCGAACTCATTGGGATCCAAATATCCCTTTCCCTAAAAGGATCCCATTGGTATCCTGATCACATTGAGATCACGACCCCATTTGGATCTCGACCCCATTGGAATCCCGACACCATTGGTATCCCTTTTCTTAATGGGATCCCATATCCAAATGGGATCCCGACCCCTGTGAGATCCCGACCTAATTGAGATCCCGATGGTATCCCATTTACATGGATGCCATTTTCCAATTTTCCCCCTTTTTCAGGTGAGATCCTGATCCCGTTTCCCGGTGGGATCCCCTTATCCGATGGGGTCCCGTTTGCCGTAGGATCCCAATTTGATGGGATTCGTCACTCGATGGGATTGTGTTACTGGTGGGTTTCAGGTAAGGCTTTTGTTCCCGGTACCGGTAGGATAATAAAGGGTCTGTTTAAAGAATATACCCATGAAAGTATAGAACTAAACTAACATTCAAGAAGCTTTTTAGATGCCATTATAGTAGAGCAATATAGAACTTTCTAGAGTAACATAATTAAATATTAATGAATGGAGGCCCACTAGAGTCTAGAGTTTACAACTCCTTTTTATTATCAACCTAAAAAAAATTATAAGAATCCCATCTACATGCACAGGAGCCAAAATGATCAATAAATTGATCGTGTGCCCTTAAGATATAGAAGAAGAAGAAGGTGGCGTCAAAATTCAGAGCTGCCTGGTTCGTAAAAAATGCAAAGGTCAGACCTGTTGACACTGAATAATTAATTATAATGCATCCATTTATTTAGGCCCAGTAGGTTACTTATCTATTTTTAGTGTACAGAGCATGATCAAAATCCCAGAGTAATATTACATTTTCGCAATTTTCATTGATTCTCGGAAGTTGTTGTCATCATGGTCGACGAAGCAACAAAAAGTACTTTGGCTAAAATTCCTTTGTTGAAAACCAAGGCTGGACCCCGAGATGGAGATTTATGGATACCCAGACTAAAAGAAGAATATCAAGCATTGATACAGGTTAGGCCTATTTGTTTCATCGTTACTTAAAATTGATTCGAAAAAGGTATCGCGCCTCGAAAGCTTAGTTTAGACAGTTTTACCGTTAACTAGTTTAACATTTTTTAATCAATCATAATATATCATATGGTTGGGTGCCAGATGGCAGATGGTCATGTTCTGATAGAACATATGGAGGAACAATGATCAGTAAATTGATCGTGGGCCCTAAAGATATAGAAGAAGAAGAACATGATGATAAGAAAAAAATATTAAAAAATCAGCATCATCATAATATTAATATTAATAGTTAATAGTAATGGTATTAATAGGCCTAGCCATTTGTCTTGTACTTTTATAGTATAATAAGTAACTATAGTATAGTATGAAAAGCAGAATTTGTAGTAAAGAATTTCACTTAATAACACTAAATTACAGACGTTTAAACATTATTTTAAAAAAAAATTGTAATTATTTTATTTTAAATTACTATCAGTACTTTAGGTATGCGCGGTCCGAAGAATGGCCTCTGATCAAGTTACAGGACGCCTAGTAGTAGGAGAATCGGAATGTAGTTACAATGACAGTCGTGAGAATTTATGGCTAAATGTGAACACGGGAAGTGGGCGTGGGATGTAGCGGAAAAAAAAAAGGTTGACCGCGGGGTGGGGGTATCTTAGTAAATGCTCTAGGGCAACGATTCTTAACCCTTTTTTGCAGCGTTGCGGCACCACTCCGTTTTAAACATCCCTCCCCCCAAACGTATAAATTACATTGTATTAAAATCTTTATCAACATTTTAGAATGGATTTGTGTATAGAGGAGAGCGATTTTGAAAGTCATCCTGGGCAGCATTTTATAATAATAATAATAAGAGGTCTTATATAGCGCGGTACCCCAGCCTAGGGCTGGGCTGACCGAGCTGTACATAAAAATTTTATCAAAAGAGACATAATCATGACATTAAAATAAAATACATTTATGAAATAAAGAACAGCAATGTATATTCACCCACCCCACCACATAACTTTTACAAGGCAAACCATGGACGGCAGCCAGCAAGATCGTTTATCGGTCAGAGGTGGTCAGAGTTAATATCAGTATAAGTAATAAGTAAGCCACTAAATAACATGCAAGGTCTGAAAAGTTATATCATGTGTGTTGGGTATTTTGGGTTAAAAAAAAGACTAATCATATTTTGTCATATTTCTCACTTGAATCTACATTCTAAGAAATATTTATTTATTTATTTAGGCATTTTTATATAGCGCTTACCTTAAAGCTCTAAGCGCTTTACAATTATTAAAAACATGTAAACTAACTAAAATAAAAATGAGACATTACGATTTTTGTCCAAAAGCTCAGAACAGCCTGGTCATAAAAAGATTATTGACTATTAACTCAAGCATATTACTTATTGCTTCTCATAGTAAAGGAAGTGGGAGGTGGATGGGGGTATAGATTTTAGGCCTCAATTTTTCATGTGGATTTACTCATGAAAAACACATTGTGCATTGTAGCTTAGGCCTATATGAAATATGGAAATTCATGCCAACACATTTACAACGTGTCCTAAACTATCTAACATAGAAAACTCACAAGACATTATGTATTAAGAAAAATTATGATTGAAACAAGGATAGAATATTCAAATGGCCAGGACAATAGTGTTAGACCGGAATATTTCTGGTCTGAAAATTTCCCCTCAAACTTGAATATTTCCCGTCAAACCAGAATAATCCCTGTCAAAGTGGGATGTATGGTAACTCTAAATATAGCCTTTGAGTGTTAGATAGGCCTATATGACTCATCCAGTGCATCAGTGCTGTTAGATAGGCCTATATGACTCATCCAGTGCATCAGTGCTGTTAGATAGGCCTATATGACTCATCCAGTGCATCAGTGCTGTTAGATAGGCCTATATGACTCATCCAGTGCATCAGTGCTGTTAGATAGGCCTATATGACTCATCCAGTGCATCAGTGCTGTTAGATAGGCCTATATGACTCATCCAGTGCATCAGTGCTGTTAGATAGGCCTATATGACTCATCCAATGCAGCAGTGCAAGATGTAGAGTGGGAGGCCTAAACTTATTATCTTTGTTTAATTTTAAATTAGCCATAAGAAGAATTATTTATTTTATAATAACTAAACAAGTTTTTTGCTAAAAATAAAATGACTTATATTATACCCCTATGGCTACAGAGTTAAATATAATGTTTAAAATGATATAACTTAAAACTTACTCTAATAATGTAACCTTTTAATTTTTTCTTCAGTATGTCCAAAATAATAAAGAAAGTGACAATGATTGGTTCAGGCTGGAGTCAAATAAAGAAGGCACACGATGGTTTGGAAAATGCTGGTACATTCATGAACTACTCAAATATGAGTTTGATGTTGAATTTGATGTAGGTTTATTTATGAGACTTGAGTTATAGCTTCACCATTTTTTAATGTCTCCTAAATTAAATATTCTTATTGGTGATCTTATTTGTGATTTTGAAATAAAAATGTGAAATGTTACGATCAGCTGAGATTAATTACATATATTTCAGATTCCTGTGACATATCCTACGACATCACCTGAAATTGCATTGCCTGAACTTGATGGGAAAACAGCCAAAATGTATAGGTAAAATATTTGTTGAAGGGTAATAATATATAAATAGGAAATTGTAACAAAAAAATAAGGTTTAACTATGATTTTATAAATTATTGGTTAGTAATTAATATTTAATAAAGACCATAAAGATTAAACATTTTGTATGTTTATGTCTTGGATGAGGTTGGAAGTGACCATAAACGGATCCTCCTCCGATTTTGTTAACTACCACCAACGCCCGCTTTCAGAAAAGGCACTGGCAGTTTCGGAACGTAATTTTGGCTCAGTAAAAAACAGAGACTGAAGCCAAGCTGGCAGAGGCCCATGCAATAGAGCTAGAAGACCTAAATGTGGAGGACGAGCTCTTCATAGGCAAGATTCTCGATGGGGCCAGACGAGTAATTGCAAGAATAAATGGAAGCCAAACCTTCAGACCCTACTGGAATAAAATTCTGAAGGGGCTGGTCAAGAAATGAGCAAAGGAAGGTTGCCAAGAAGGAAACACCTGCAGCTAGAGCAGCGTACAACTTCTTGATGGCCCAATTTCATGCCGAAGTCTTTAAAGGGAAAAGTCCAACTGGGTAAATACGTGTAACCTTGCGGATAGATGGAAGGTCTGGCAGTTCTCTGGCATGGAGAAGCAACGAAATCTACGTTCCCTCAAAACAGCGGCCGGCACAGAGGCTAGCTGTGCTAAGCGCACCAAAGCACTAAATAAAAATTTTTCTTTAGTCAGTCAGCCAGCAAAAAGGCCAGAGAAGATAAGCAAAGCGACCAACCATCAAGCTACCGGCCCATTTCCCTCACCTTGTGCATGGTAAAAGTAACAGAGCGAATGGTCAACACACAACTGTATTGGTTCTTGGAACAAACCAAAAGTATTACAACCAACCAAGGTGGCTTCCCAAAGGATTGGCAGCCTATGGATCAGGTAATACAATTCATCTTAAGTACTACCAATGAGCTACAGATGCTAAATCATACAGTCACGGTTTTCTTTGACCTCCAACAGGCTTATGATAAAATCTGGAGGGTAGGTCTACTCTACAAGTTACGAAAGCTCAGAGTAATAGCTAATATCCACAGGTGGATTCATTCTTTTCTATCAAATCGTATTATATCCACCCGTGTCGGGGACAAGGTTTCGGACATGTGCGCAAATGAGGACGGGCTCCCACAGGGGTCAGCCTTGAGCTGTACCCTATTCTTGGCGTATGTGTACGACCTACAGTCACATTCGCTAACAAAGATCACAATGTTTGCAGATGACTTAGTAATTTGGAGCTCTAGCAAGTCCATCCAGCAATTGCAGAGCTGGCTGCAAGTAGATCTCACCAAGTTACAAGAATACGATCGGAAATGGAGATTGGTGGTAGATGCGGAGATATCGGTCTATACATCGCTTACCGACCGAAGGAATGCTCTTAAAGAAGAAATTGATCTTCACATCTGTGTAGAGAGTCTGGGCTAGATACAGGACCTAGCTCTCAGGTTGGTATGTGGGGCATTACATACTACACCCATGGCTGCTGTGGGAATACTGTCAGACGTAGAACCAGTCAGGATCAGGCGGGACAAGGCCATCTTAACAACAATGGAGCGTTACCGTTAAATGTAAAGGACTGAACCCTGTTTCCAGTTACAAGATTGGTGGGTAAAGTGGACAACGCTTAAAGAGACCCTCCTTTAAGGACACGCTCTGTTCACTTGAGAATAAGCTCCCTTTACCAGGAAACAGGGAGAAAATACGCCTGATCCCAGCGAGAGATCACCACAAGATGGATAGCAACCGCCAGATGTTTGTCTGCCTCTGGCAAATGTGGCAGTTACAAAGTCGTGCCCCCCAAAATGAGCAAAGGAGTCCGCACTTCAGACTATCGTGTCTTATAAAGACTCTGTGGTAAAAGTCTTCTCAGACGGCTCCTATCTCGCCAGCGAGAACATTGCAGGCTACGGTGGACTTATACAGTACCCAAAGGGGGTACCTCCAATAAAGGAGATTTCAGGCCCTAGTGGTACGAATAGCACTGCAATTGACCCAGAGATCAAAGCCATATTAATGGACTTGAAACAAGTGCACCATAGACTATCTAAACGTAAAACAATTCCATCAATCGTAGTGTTCACTGACTCACAGTGTGCTCTTGAAATTGTGAAGAGGTGCTCTTTGGACACGAAAATGGCCAATGCAATTTAGGAGCTCATACGAGACATACAGTCTCATGGAGGGGAAGTGACCCTCCAATGGATCCCAGGACATGTGGGAATCCCCCCACAAGATAGAGCTGACTGTCTTGTAAAACAAAGCTCTACCCAGCCACAACCTAACAGGCCAATGACCCAACTAGGGATCAAGGCCTGGATTCAGGACCCCTTTCTAGAGGATGGCTAAAGAATTGGGAGAAAGGATCAATAGCCCGGAAACTTTATCGGAACATGTGAAAAACAAACCGAAAGGGCTATGAATGGCGGCGTCTTAAACGACACCAGCAGAGCCTCATCATGCAGATGAAGACAGAGCTCTGCCCTACCCCTGTCTACCTGAACAGGTCGCACCCACTGCGGCACCTGAGCTGACGTCACTGTGGACAGGTGCCGGAGACTATAGACGCTAGGGACTGGTGTGACTGGGGTGCTCCCAGCTAACTATGTTGACAGTCTGATTGACAGCACAGCCCAACAGATGAGGCAAACCTGTAACATACTTGCCGGTGCCATCAAAGAATAATAGCTCAATGTAATAATTCAGTATGTTTATTTCTAGCAATAGTATTAGTAGTCGATGGCTGTCTCTCCGGCAGTGCTGACTTGGTGTACTGAGTGCCACAGGGGTCCGTTTTGGGCCCGGTTCTATTCATAATGTATACCAGGCCACTGCTCCTCTTGCTTGGGAGGCATGCTGTGGAGAGCCAGTCATTCGCAGCTATACAAGCAAGTTGAAGCTTAACGATGACAAAACGGAAGTACTCCTTATTTACGATCACAAATCATCCAACGGAAGTACTCCTTATTCACGATCACAAATCATCCTCTAATACAGCTCTTCCCACCTCATTTCAAGTAGGTAACTCCGACATACAGTTTACATCCTCTGCTAGCAATCTCGGTTACATTCTGTCAAACAACATGTCTCTCGATAATCATATCTCTTACAATTGTCGCTCTGCATACACCGCTATCCGTCAAATCAGCTCCATTCGCCACTACCTCACAGTTAGTGAAACAAAAACCCTAGTCTATGCTCTTGTTCTCTCTCGTCTTGACTTTTGCAATTCTCTTCTATCAGGTTCACTAAAACACTTCTTAGAAAAATTACAAGAGGTTCAAAACTCAGCTGCTAGGCTTGTTCTAAAGGCAAAAAAATGTGATCAAGTAACTCAAATACTTTATTCACTTCATTGGCTGCCTATACAAGCACGTATTGACTACAAACTTTCTGTTCTCTGCCACAACTTTTTCTCGAATTCTTGCCCTTCCTATCTTACCGAACTTCTTTCTGTCTATTCATCCCTTTGACAGCTTTGCTCCTCCGCAGATGCACGTATTCTTTCTGTCCCCAAAACTCGCACAAAAACATACGGCGAACGATCTTTCTCTTTCTGTGCCCCTAAACAATGGAATTCTCCTCCATTACACATCCACAAGATACCGACCATCACAGCCTTCAAAACTGCACTTAAAACAAATTTCTTTAAACTCTACTATCCTGACTGATTCCCACCTCTGACGAAAAAACAATGCAGCTGGGTGTCGTCCATGGCTTGACATGGAAATAGTTTTATATATACATTTGTTTTGTTTGATTTAATTAATGTATTTTAAATAATTTTTTAAGTTCTTGATTATGTTTGTTAAATTGTTTTTTACATCATGGTGAGCCCAGCCCTAGGCTGGTGTACCACACTATATAAAACCACTTATAATAATAATAATAGTTACAAAGAAAATATCAGCTGACACTATTAGTTTATCATTACAGCCATTCACTCTTCTTGTCTTCAACAACTAGTCCAATTGTTTTGCTCTAATTATTTTGTTTACTTTGAAGAAATGGATTGGGACCTTAACTTTAATTTCTTTCCTAAAAATTCCACATTTCTGTCCTATCTTTACTCAGAATTGATCTGTTTTGTTAAACCCTTTATCTTTTAATCTTTATGATCTTTATTCCAAGACCTGCTTTCACTTGACATTTCCAAATCACTTGACATTTCCAAATCACTTACTTGTCTCCCAATCCCATAGCATAAATGCATTGTTAGTTTATTTTATTCAAATATTCAACACTTGCATATAAATTTACAGTTCATAAATTGCATCTTAGTGAAATAGAGGCTATCTTGATGCTCGTTTAATTGTACATTTCAGTGAAAAACATATTTCAAAACAAACTAATAAATCGTCATATTTTAATTTTCAAATGAGAAAGCTTAGCCCCCGGCCTGTGTGTTGCCAAATTATCAATGATAGCGTGAGAACATTTCAAATCTAATCACAGATTTGGATTTATTTTTTCAATTAAGCATTAATAGATCAAATTCTGAGGTCAATACTTTTGATTTCTTATGATCATTTTACACACATTATTACCATAATACATATTTTATCTTTTACAGAGGGGGCAAAATTTGCCTGACTGATCACTTTAAACCACTGTGGGCAAGAAATGTTCCCAGATTTGGAATAGCTCATGCAATGGCCCTTGGGGTAAGTGGATAGCTCATGCAATGGCCCTTGGGATAAGGGGATAGGTCATGCAATGGCAGGTGGGGTAAGTGGATAGCTCATGCAATGGCCCTTGGGGTAAGTGGATAGTTCATGCAATGGCCATTGGGGTAAGTGGATAGCTCATGCAATGGCCATTGGGGTAAGTGGATAGCTCATGTAATCGCCCTTGGGGTAAGTGGATAGCTTATGTAATGGCCCTTGGGGTAAGTGGATAGCTCATGCAATGGCCCTTGGGGTAAGTGGATAGCTCATGCAATGGCCATTGGGGTAAGTGGATAGCTCATGCAATGGTCATTGGAGTAAGGGGATAGCTCATGCAATGGCCCTTGGAGTAAGTGGTGACATCAAACCCAATTTTATTGTTAAATCTTTTCAACATCTTTGTATATCTTCCTAAAGATAAATAAAACATAGGGTAGGGGAACATCCACAGAAAGACAAAGCAAAACATTTTATTTTTGCCGCAGTATTTCCTTGGGAAATTGATCATCCTGAACTTGCATGATATCACAACTATTATATTCAGCCTAGTCTTCTAGATGTCTCCTTTGTACATTTCTGTTCCTGCCAATATTGTGCAAATTTTCTATTACTAGAACTGTGTATACTGTCGACACTTATTGCATTTCCCATTCAGAACCTGGCTAGCAGTTAGTGTGTGTCAGCTGCCTTTCTACTGCCCAGCAGTTTGTATGTGTCAGCTGCCTTTCTACTGGCCAGCAGTTTGTGTGTGTCAGCTGCCCTTTTACTGGCCAGCTGTTTGTGTGTCAGCTGCCCTTCCACTGGCCAGCAGTTTGGGTGTGTCAGCTCCCCTTATTTATCCTTTTGAAAGTTATAACTTTGACGGCTAAACAAAATAGTTTTTTTTAATTGTAGAAATGCGATATTATGAAGGATGTTGTAAAAAATGTTTGGATAGATGTAATCTTTATTTCTATATCTATTGGCAACTCTGACATCACACTCTCTCCCTCTGCCAGAAACCTTGGAGTCACGCTTACGGACACCCTCTCCATGGACAAACATGTCACGAATATATGTAGATCAGCATATAACGAAATTAGAAAAATCAGCACCATTAGACACCTCCTCTCCTTTGATGCCACAAAAACTCTCGTCTCTTCACTCATTCTTTCAAAATTTGACTACTGTAACATTCTTCTCTCAGGCATTCCTCAACACCACATAGAAAAACTTCAGAAGGCACAGAACTCAGCATGCAGACTCATTTTTAAATCAAAGAAACATGACCACATTCAACCACACATGCGGCAACTCCACTGGCTTCCAATATCCTCTCGCATCAAATACAAGTCTTCCAATCTTTGCTTCAACTCGTTCACTGACCCTCACTTTCCTGTCTATCTCTCTGAACTGTTGCTTCCTTACATCCCCACAAGACAACTACGTTCTTCCATTGACAGTAGAACCCTCTCAATCCCAAGAACTAAAACTAAGACCATCGGTGAACGCTCCTTCTGCTTCCATGGGCCCACGTTCTGGAACCAGCTCCCCTTCCATATACGTCATAGTGAAACCTCGTCCATTTTCAAAAAGTCCCTTAAAACTCATCTGTTTAGGTCCGCCTATGACCTGTGATGCACCCTCCTTGCCCTACCTCATTTTCTGTTTCGAGTTGATCCTGAAGTGTCAAAGTGTCCTCGTTTTATAGCCATTTTCATTGTTTCTATAAAATAGTAGTTACTATCCTAGTGTCTCATTTGTATTTACTTAGTTTACATGTTTTAATAATTGTAAAGCGCTTAGAGCTTTATGATAAGCGCTATATAAAAATGCCTAAATAAATAAATAAATAAAATCTTGAAATTGTGTAGAATGGGATATGCACGGTTTGGGAGATTGAGGTGGTCCAAGTAAAATGTTTGGGAATTGACAGAGACACAACGTACACATCCTTAGTCAGACAAGATAGAGACACAATGTACACATCATTAGTCAGACAAGACAGGGACACAATGTACACATCATTAGTCAGACAAGATAGAGACACAACATACACATCATTAGTCAGACAAGATAGAGACACAATGTACACATAATTAGTCAGACAAGACAAACACAGCATACAGATCATTAGTCAGACAAGACAGAGACATAACATACACATCATTAGTCAGAAGATGGATTGACCAAATCCCCAAACTATAAAGTAGTATTAATATGATCATGATTAATAAAAAAAATGGTCATAATTTTAAAACACTTGCAATAGTTTAGACTAGGCATGTTTCCATAGGCATGTTTCCATAGGCATGTTTCCATAGGCATGTTTCCATAGGCATGTTTCCATAGGCATGTTTCCATAGGCATGTTTCCATAGGCATGTTTCCATAGGCATGTTTCCATAGGCATGTTTCCATAGGCATGTTTCCATAGGCATGTTTCCATAGGCATGTTTCCATAGGCATGTTTCCATAGGCATGTTTCCATAGGCATGTTTCCATAGGCATGTTTCCAAGCACAATGTAGAATACTATCATTCATTTCTTTGTATACAAAGACAATCATTGCTATGTATGTTTATTTGAAATATGAACGTATTATAAAGTCAACTAATTTTAACAAGTGATCTAATTGTCTTCCTCACACAAAGTTTGACAAGTGCCAGGTACTGAGTGTCACATGAAATACTGAGTGCAACCTCAAGTGCTGAGGGCCCCATAAGGAATTAATTTTAATCAAATAATGACCCCAACCTTGCTTCATAGTTGCCTCACATGGAGTTGCCTCACACAGAGTAATTTCATACAGAGTAGCCCCACACAGTGTAGCCCACACAGAGTTGTTCAATCCCTGTAACAAAATCTTTGAATGTCCTGTGATGAGAAGAGCCTTCCATTTAAAGTTGGAGGACTTTGTTCTGACCTTCTTCTGATATTCTTTTCTACTATTTAATTAGGTGTTTATTTTACACACTCTAACATGGCTCTGTGAATTTTTTAATACATTGGTGTATTTCAGGTGGTATCACAACACCAGTTACCTTTGTTAACACTAACGATCATTTTACCATTCCACACACCTTTGACCTCTTGAATTATCTTTGTTCACACTATGATTACTCAATCATACATAGTGTTTTTTAAAAACAAACTTTTTTCACCCTTCTGTCCTATCATAACTCAGACATCTGGCTAACAGTGTATAGGGGCTCACAAAATTCACATCAGTTTGTGACTAACATACAATGATTCTTTAAGGCATCTCTAGGGGGGTGGTGGTGTGCATTCACTGATCAGTTTGTGACTAACATACAATGATTCTTTAAGGTCATTAATTCACACAAATTAAATTAAATATAACACAGATTGGGTGTTTAATTCATTTGTTCAATAATACAAAAATTTACTGGTAAAACATTGTTAAACATTCTATTGACCATTCAGTAATAACATCGATAACAAACCTTTGCAATTTCGCTAATCGCTCAATAATTTGTCACATTTTTCAAAACGTTTTTGAATAACCATTGGTTTGATAATTTAATTAAACTTTATTAGTCCTGTAATGTTTCATTTAGTTTTGTTGTAATTCTTAAATTTCAAATTGTATTTGAGAGGCCTAAGCCTGACATACAGAAAAAATGTTTGTATTTTTTCTATTCCCATATGGCAGTGGTGCCATTGTATGAGCTGGCCCTGGGGGGTCATTATGCTTAATTTTGAGGCTGGCAGACGATTCCCCCCTCCCTCCCCCCCTCCCCCCCCCCCGATCAAATTGCCAAACAGAAAAAATGTTTGTATTTTTTCTATTCCCTGATGGCAGTGGTGCCATTGTATGAGCTGGCCCTGGGGGGTCATTATGCTTAATTTTGAGGCTGACAGACGATTCCCCCCTCCCTCCCCCCCTCCCCCCCCCCGATCAAATTGCCAGAAGGAAATATTCATTGACTATTCCTTGAATCTAAAAATTAAAAAATTTTGATACTTCTTTGTGATGTGTTTTTTTCACCTAATTACTGTAAAAAGCTAGTTGATAATGTTTTGGAGATTGACACAATAGTACTTGTTTTGGTGCTGACATTAAACACTGCTCAATGATCAGTATGCTATATTCATTTGAAATTGTCTGATAGAAACACTGCTCTCTTACCTTGAACCTAAGCAAGAATCAATACCTGCTACTAATCCTTGGTAATACAAATACAAAAGCATGAATAGGTTTCTGATTGGCACCCTCTTCTTTAACTCTCCACAGCTTGGACCTTGGTTAGCTGTTGAAATCCCTGACCTTATACAAAGGGGAGTAGTCATACATAAAGGAAATGTCAATGAGTAATCTGAAAGGTACGTTTGATACAAAGCACTGTTTGTCAAGGTCAAGGCTAAAAACTTGACAAAACAGCCTACCTTCTTTTTCTTCTTTAATTCATTGCTCCGTTTTGTGGTTTGTATTTTTTATTTTCTAAAGTAAAGGGGGGGAGGGGGGGGGGGGTTTGAAAAAAAAAATTCTAACTTTTAAAAAAAAAAATGTACAAAATGACCCAATAAATAAACATTGACTTTGCTATAAAACAAATATCAAAGACAAAAGTTGTTTTGGGCATTTATAAAAAAATTCATTTCTTACCTTACCAAGTTATGCCATTTATCTCTTACTTTGGAGTTTTGTATTGAAATTGTGTAGTGATCATTATTTATTATATCTTATCAGTAAAACAGCATCTATTGGATTTTAGTATCTCCTTTGATGTGAAGAAAAATAGCTTCCAATTTTAATTAACTATTAATTTTAATTAAATTAAAAGCTCTTCCTTATAGTGTGAATTAATATTGTTCATATTATGACTATTTATAATTTTAAAGAAATCATGCAATTTAAGCTTAATCATATTTTTAGTTTGGTTTATTGAGGAAATGTAAATATGTTAAGAAGGAACTTTAAAATTGATATACACATAGAACATAAAGTAAATAAGCCTTATATCCACATACCATTTTGCCCAGACTGGTGATATTAAATGTCACATTAAGAAATGGCACCAGGGGGCCGTCAAGCTTAAAGCTGTTTATGCCCTCCCCAAAACACCCCTCCCAAAGCCGGATATCGAACCGCAAAGCGGCACGTTGGAGATGTCCTTTTGCAAGGGCAGCCCCCACCCTAGTCCGCTCGACCAGGTTCTGCTGGAGGCCGATCCAATCCAAAGACACCCGGTTGGTCTGACACTGTGTTTGCACACAATTGACTTTCTCAGGAGTCGGGATGGCAAATTTACGTCCTAAAATCTTCCCCCACCCATCCCAGGGAAGCGTTGGACGCCCTATAAGAGGGATTCTACAGTGGGTTTCCACAACGCAAAAAATTTGCGAAGTAGCTGGGACGAAAAGGTTGCCTTGGAGCAGCTTCTTAAGGCTGCATAGTAAGAATCATTGGCCAGAGGTTACCACCTTCGCCTCTCGCCTCATATCCATTAAAGGCATATTGTAATCATGATCCCTACCCTGTCTGCTTTTTCTTCTAATTGTGAAACGGCACAACTGGCGGCCCTGTAGGTGCTGTTTTATTTACTGCAGGTACCGAGCACGTCCCTTGTCTGCCTACGCAAGACGTGCCTTGTGGTTGTGTTCCCCGGGTAACAATGAGGTGGCCGACGCCTCCTAATCGACAAGCCACCACAGACTTGTCAACATTATTTTGTTTTACTATATAGTATAGTGAGTTTTAACGTGTGAACTGAAAAAAAGATTCAACCAAATTTCCGTTCGATCAAATTTCCGTTCGATCAAATTTCCGTCAATCAATTTTCCGTTGACGAATTTCTTTCAATTAAATTTCCCGTAACCATTTGTTGGTGATGGTATTTTGCCATTTCATGTTCAGGATCTAATAACTAATTGTATAAGTAATTGGTGGCTGGTTGGCTCTGCTGTCGTGTCAACCCCCAGCAAAAGCCTAGACCAGGGGTTGAGAACCTTTTCATGGCAAAGAGTCAAATATTAAATTATTATCTTGTAGTAACTAGTAAATAAGCAAAAGCATGAACAGCTTCCCAGATGGATGGGGCTCGTTAATTTTGGATGGCATCTAAGAGAAGGACAACTCTGAATTCAAACCCAGAGGTGGTATGACAATGAAAATTCCAGCAACTCTGGTGATGCTACTTGTGCCAGGCTGTATCAAAAAGGTGTAACACGTGTTCCCCTGGGTTCACCAGATGCGTCTAGAGAGGTGATTAGCAAATCTAGGGGACAGCTTATCATCCTTAAGAAAAAATCCCAGGCCTTGTGATTTTTTTTCCTGCCATGTTTACACCATCATCACATTGTGATGGAGGGATGACAAAAAAATATGTATATTAGTATTATTAACCTGAAGTTTGAGACAAATTAAATCAATTTTTCATTTTTAAAGGTAGTTATATTGATTGATTGATTGGAAATTTTGGGGTGATGTGGTCAGATTTCTTTATCCACGATACAATGCGTGCTGCAGTATTTTGTACCTTCTGGAGTTTCTGAATTTGGTTCTGAGGTAAACCCCACAAACAACTGTTACAATAATCAAATCTTGACTGGATTAGAGTTACCATTACAGCATTGGCTGTTCTCTTATTCAGTTGAGGACGCAGCTGACTCGGGGCACTCAGATGACAGAAGCATGCCCTGTCCACAGAACTGATATGGGGAATCATTCTAAGTTTACTGTCAATATATAAGGCAAGGTCTCTGACAGGGGAGTACAACTGGATCTCAGAATCACCAACTTTTATTGATGCAACAATATCAAAGATTTTAAATGATCAGTCATGAAATTAAATGTATTTTTCTCATTCTCATTTTAGAAAAACTGACCAAAGTAAAGTGATTAAAATGGATCAAAAGTCTTGGCTGATTAATTGGATCACTTCAAGATTCAACTTAAATTGTCAAATAATCTGAGCAAGTCATAACAATGTTTACCAAACTTGTTTAAACTGGGCTGCACTTTTCCCACACGATCATTCTTAACAAATGTGCTACACCACACATACACATTCGTTAATGCTACACCACACATACACATTCGTTAATGCTACACCACAAATCTAGACAAAAGAGATTCAAGCACCTTATCCCCAAGTTTTATTAATACCTGATTCTATAATCATGTCTTCTTTATATTTTCCTTCAGTTGCAATTAAGTTAGCTACATAAAACATACCTTAAGATCAAAATAAACCAATTCTGTTAGGGGTTCTGGCGTATCTATGTCCAGCTAATCTAAATTCTTATTAATTTTAGAAGAAATCTGTATTGTAACAAGACTGATGTGTTACACCTGTATTGTAAGATGCCCAATGTTTTACATGTGTACTGTAAGATTTACACCTGTATAGTAGCATGTCCAATGTTTCACACCTGTATGTAAGATGTGCCTGTGTGAGGCTATGCATTACTTATTGAACTATATTTACATGAGAACCTCTGCTCTGTAAAATCATGTTACCTGGTCTGTAAAGTCATGTTACCTGGTCTGTAAAGTCATGTTACCTGGTCTGTAAAGTCATGTTACCTGGTCTGTAAAGTCATGTAACCTGGTCTGTAAAGTCATGTTACCTGATCTGCACAGTCATGTTACCTGATATGCACAGTCATGTTACTTGGTCTGCACAGTCATGTTACTTGGTCTGAACAGTCATGTTACCTGGTCTGCACAGTCATGTTACCTGGTCTGTAAAGTCATGTTACCTGATCTGCACAGTCATGTTACCTGATATGCACAGTCATGTTACCTGGTCTGCACAGTCATGTTACCTGGTCTGCACAGTCTGACTATTAACTGTCTACTGTCTATTGACCATGTCTATTGGCTGTCTTCTTTCTATTGACTGTGTCTGTCTACTGACTGTCTTTGAATTATGTAAATTAGTTTTTTGTTTTTAAATCTGCTTTGAAAAATTTTGAGGTAGTAATTTTTGTAATGACTTTGTCCATCAGTTGTGTTATTTCTGTAAGATATTGACTTAGTTAAATAGAATTGTCCCTGAAGGTGTCCACAAAATAGCAGCCTCTACTCTATCCGACGACTAGTCAGTGAGGCAATGTACAATCTACTACTGGGTGTTTTACCATGAACTTGAATGTAAGTTTGGATGCTTGGGTTGTTTAGGAGAAGAGTTCATATGGGAAGGAGATGAATGGCTCAATAAAGAATGGATCAATCATGTAAATATCAGGCTTTTTACTCATATACCTGTTCTGTTTCAATAAAACTAAAAAGTGAGAGAATTGACCTACTTATCATGGATATGGAACAAAACAAATAAATTACAAGTCTGATCTATGGTACCGGTAAAAGAAAACTATATGACATTGTAACATACGATTTTTCGGGTGATGGTGATCAATTGGGTGATGGTGTAGTGATCAATCGGGTGATGGTGTAGTGATCAATCGGGTGATGGTGAACAATCGGGTGATGGTGATCAATCGGGTGATGGTGATCAATCGGGTGATGGTGAACAATCGGGTGATGGTGATCAATCGGGTGATGGTGATCAATCGGGTGATGGTGAACAATCGGGTGATGGTGATCAATCGGGTGATGGTGATCAATCAGGTGATGGTGATCAATCGGGTGATGGTGATCAATCGGGTGATGGTGATCAATGCCCACTACCACTAGTTAGCCCACTACCACTTGTTAGCCCACTACCACTTCAATCGGGTGATGGTGATCAATCAGGTGATGGTGATCAATCGGATGATGGTGATCAATCAGGTGATGGTGATCAATCGGGTGATGGTGATCAATCGGATGATGGTGAACAATCGGGTGATGGTGAACAATCCGGTGATGGTGATCAATCGGGTGATGGTGATCAATCAGGTGATGGTGATCAATCAGATGATGGTGAACAATCGGATGATGGTGAACAATCGGGTGATGGTGATCAATCGGGTGATGGTGAACAATCGGGTGATGGTGTAGTGATCAATCGGGTGATAGTGTAGTGATCAATCGGGTGATGGTGATCAATCGGGTGATGGTGTCAATCATGTCCATTTGTTGGCTGGTGAGACAAAGGGCCAGCCGAAATTATCAATACCAGCTGTGGTAATATGTGCAGTTAAAATAACGGTAGAATCAGGGTAAAAATCAGGATTACTATGTGGAAGTACTGGTCATTAAGTAAGCATTGGGGAAAACTTTTCTATAAATAAAAAATAAAAAAATTATATAGATAGTATTTTAAAGAAATAGTTTCCAAAAGGCCCCGAAATTGCCTCCCGTAAAAATTGCATGTATAGAGCAAGACCAGTGACGTATGCATCAAATATTAGAGCAAGACCAGTGAC